TTGTTGTTGTTGTTGTTTGGTGCCATCGAGTCGTAGACAACTCATAGCGACCCTATGAACGAACAGCCTGAGCACTGTTCGTACATAGAGTTTCCGGAGGCAAGCCATTTCGGAAGTGGATGCCGCTCCTGCTATTTGAGGAGGATAAAATTGCTATTGAATCAACTCCAACTCTCAGTGACTCAGAGCTGGGCTCCGTACAGTTTCCAGTGGCTGGTTTTTTCGAAAATAAATCTCCAGGCCTTTCTTCCTAAGTGCCTCAGGGTGGACTTGAACGTCATCCTTTCAATTAGTAGCTGAGCACATGGACCACTCAGGGAGATCTGGTCGCCAAATGGTAGGAAGCTGCGCTCCAATCTGGAAGGCATGAAGTTCAAGGCTACCAGCTGCTCCACTGGACAAGAATGGGCAATCTCTTCTAATGTGATTAACTACCTCTGAAAACTCTCTGAAGGGTCAGCAATGGTTCAGTTCTCACTCGACAGTATATGCAACAACATATATAAGGATGACAGAAGAAGAATTGATGCCTTTGAACTGTGGTGTTGGAGAAGAGCACTGAACATACCATAGACTATCAAAAGAACAGACAAATATGTCTTGGAGAAGGTGTAGCCAGAGTGCTCCTCGGATGCAATGATGATAAAGTTTCACCTCACATACTTTGGGCACGTTGTTGCAAAGGACTATTCTTTGGAGAGGGATATCATACTTGGAAAGGCAGAAGGTCAGTGAAGGAGAGAAAACCCCTCAACCAGGTGAATTGATAGAGTGACTGCCGCAATGGGCTCTAGTGTGTCAGGAAGTGTGAGGATGGCGCAGGATAGGACAGGATTCAGATCTGTTGTTTATAGGGTCACTGTGGGTCAGATTTGACTTGATGATACCTAACAATAAGAAGTAATGGGGATAATTCAATGGTGATTAACGTTATAAAACACAATGAATGGATAAATAAACCAGTATAAAAGGTATGTCAGAGACAATAAGGCTGGCACAGGACAGAGAAAGTTTCAGGGCTATTGTGTATAGGGTCCCTGTGAGTTGCAAGTGACTCAATGGCACAACAACAACAAAATAAAAATAATTTTTAAAAGCATAATAAATGGAAACCATTGCATAAAACACAATATGAATGAAGAATAGTGTGAAACACAATGTACATGAACTTTCTAAGCAAACCAATGTTGTTATTGTTGGTAGGTGCTACTGAGTTGAGTACAACTCATAGCGACCCTCTGAGCAAAAGATCTGAACCCTGCTCTATCCTGCGCCATCTTCACACTTCCTGACACACAAGAGCCCATTGCGGCAGTCACTGCATCAACCCACCTGGTTGAGGGTCTTCCTCTCCTTTGCCTACCCTCCACCCTTCCCAGCATCATGTCCTTCCCCAAGGAAGGACACTCAAAAACAAAAATTTAAAAAACAGAAGCAACACAGTCAAAGTATGAAAAGAAGCTGTGCCGTCTTTGCACTCAGTCTGCACTTTTCCCAAAACGTTTGTTCTTTTGGCCATCATTCAATATTCAGTACTGCTCTCCAACACCACAGCTCAAAGGCATCAATTCTGAGAGAATAAATCCCTATTTGTTAAAGGTCCTCCCGTCTGACAACTCTCATACAGCAGCTCTCGATAACTGAGACAGGGACCCTCAGCTCGGTCCCGTTGGAGGAACTGCCTCCGTGGCCCCGTCTGCTCACCCATTTGCGGCTCAGCTCCAGCTGGCCCAGCACAAAGGGCAGGAAGATGTGCTCCAGCCACTCTCGCATGAACTGCGTCTGCACAGAGCTGCCATCAGACTCGAACTTCTGCAGGACATAGCAAGTGGGCCTCCAGCCTCTGTGTGGCACCCCCCTCCCCCAGGCCCTTCAGTAAGCCCCTTGGGCCTCACCTTCAGTACTCGCCCCCTGACTTTCTCCAGCTGCTCAGCCGCCTGCTGGCAGTCCAGGGCAGCCGTCAGACACTGGTCAGCCAGCTGCAGGAAGGTGGCCGCAGCATCAGCCATGAGCTGTGGGAGGAAGGGCTGGGTGACCCCAGAATCCATGCTCTGACTTAGGGGACATTCAGTCTACCCTGTGTGCACATTGGCAGGAACAACGTCTGATTAAAGGGAGGTCTCCTCAAAGGTGTAATCTTTATGGTATTTGTGTTTGGACTTTCTGGCATAAAAAACCAGAGATTTTGGTCACATCTCCATCAGGATATCTAGCTCAAAGTCTCTAAATTTAAATCACTAGTCTGATGGCCTTGCTGACTCTATCCTCACTAGTCTCCAGAGCCAGCAGACTGACATCCTGCTTGCCAACAATTGGTTTGGATGTGCCTGTCTCTGAAGTCTGGTAGCCTCCAGAGCTGGTATCTAAGATCTGCTTCCACCTCGAGGTCTAACCTACCTGAGACTTGCCTTGACAAGTACATGAGCCAGTTCATTGAAATACAGCTCTTTGTACATATATTAGTCTCATTGGTTTTGCTTCCCTAGAAAACTCAACCTAAGACAGAGCTAGTGGGCAGGCCAGGTCCCTTGGTCACCTGGTGTCCTCAGTGCTTGTTCCCACCCTCCTGACCTGCTGCGTAAGATCCTGGACCCTAAACACCAGGCTCCTGGTCCCGAGGAAGCCAAAGGGCTTGGTCAGCTGTTGCAGGAGTTCCTGGTTCCGCTCAGCCTCACGGTAGCTCCTGTGCATCAGCTCTGGGTCCCACGGCATCTCCCCGAATGAGTAGACCTGGGTGCCAGAGGTGCCCAGAGAGAAAGACACCATCAGCAGATGGAATAATGGAGCCACGGACCCCACTGCAACTCACAAGGAGAGACACAAACACATACACAGTGTCTTCAGGTCACCACCAGTGAAGGCAATGTCAAGTCAGAGCAAGGTCACTGCTGCTGCTGCTGCTGTGGGTGGTGCTGGGCGCCATGGAGGGGATTTTTGGCTGATAGAGACCCACACACAAAACAGAGCTGCTTTGTAGCAGAAGGAAATCACTAGCCTCTGTCCCCTGGAGCTACAGGGTGGGTTCCGTCAAGCAGCTATTTGACGAGCAGCTGAGTGCTTACCCACTACGCCACCAGAGACCGTTAGATAAAATAGAAAACACTAGAACACAAACAGAAACCTGTTCACCTGTGTTCACTGCAGCAGTTTTCACAAGTCAAAAGGTGGAAACAACCTAAATGTGCATCCACAGATGAATGGGTCCACACATCGCGGGCCGTACGCACAAGAGAACATCACGAAATCATAAAGTGAAGTGATGACAAACTATTCAACTGAGAAACGGTGGTACATCTACACAATGGGAGACCACTCAGCACGAAGGAACAATGATTTTTTTTAAGTACTATATAACATGAGTCCTGGAAAGGGCTAAACCGGGTGGCTCCTTGGAGGCAAGGATTCTGAGGCTCCGTCTAACATATTTTGGACATGTTGTGAGGAGAGACCGGTTCTTAGAGAGGGACATCATGCTTGGGAGGGTGGAGGGACGGCACAGGAGGGGAAGGCCCTCTATGAGGTGGATTGATCCAGTGACTGGGATAATTGGGATGGGAGTGTTGGAGTCAGTGCGATTGGCACAGGACAGAGCGGAGTTTAGGGCTGTTGTACATAGGGTCGCTATGAGTCGCAGGCGACTCGACGGCACATAACAACAACAA